AGAAAATTACAAGCCAACATCACCGCTGAACACAGACACAAAAGTCCTTAACAAAATACTAGCAAACCAAATTCACCAACACATTAAAAGGATCATAAATACACGATTAAATGGAATTTATCCCAGGGATGCAAAGGATTCTTCAATATATGCAAATCAATCAATGTGACACACCACAGTAACAATCTGAAGAATAAAAACCATTATGATCATCTTGATAGATCCAAAAAAAGCTTTTGAGAAAATTCAACACCCATTTATGATAAAAACTCTCCAAAAAGTAGGCTTGGCGGAACCTACTTCAACATAATAAAGGCCATATATGACAAACCCACAGCTAACATCATTCCCAACAGTGGAAAAACTGAAAGAATTTTCTCTAAGATCAGGAACAAAATAAGTAACTCACTCTTGCCACTTTTATTCAACATAGTTTTGGAAGTTCTAGCCACGTAATCACAGAAGAAAAAGAAATAAAAGGAATCCAAGTTGGAAAAGAAGAAGTAAAACTATCACTGTTTGCAGATGACTTGATCCTATACACAGAAAATCCTAAAGACTCTACTGGAAAACTACTAGAGCTCATCAATGAATCAGTAAGGTTGCAGGATACATAATTAATACACAGAAATCTTTTGCATTCCTATACACTAACAATGAAAAATCAGAAAGAGAAATTAAGGAAATAATCCCATTTACCATCACATCAAAAAGAATAAAATACCTAAGGAGGCAAAAGACCTATACTGTACTTAGAAGACTATGAGATGCTGATGAAAGAAATTCAAGACAACACAGACAGAAGAGAGATATACCATGTTTTGGGATTATAAGACTCAATATTATCAAAATGACTATACTACCCAAAGCAATTTACATATTCAATGCAATCCCTATCAAATTACCAATGGCATTTTTCACAAATGAGAAAAAAAAATTTACGATTTGTATGAAAATACAAAAGATCCTGAATAGCCAAAGCTATCTTGAGAAAGAAAAATGAACCTAGGCCCAGTGCAGGGGTCCTAGGTGTGACTCCTGGTCAGGGCACTAGATTCTGCCTGCCATGACTGAGAGTTCACTTACTGCAACTAAAGATCCCACATGCCACAACTAAGACCCAGTGCAGCCAAACAAATACATAAATGTGTGGTGTATCACCAGCTACAAAATGATTTATTTAAAAAAATAGAAAAATGGGGCTGGAGGAATCAGGCTCCCTAACTTCAGACTATACTACAAAACTATAATAATCAAAACAGTTTTGGTACTGGCACAAAAACAGAAATACAAATCAATGGAATAGGGTAGAAAATCCAGAGATAAACCCACACACCTATGGTCAACTAATCTAGGACAATGAAGGCAAGGATATACAATGGAGAAAAGACAGACTCTTCAATATACAGTTCTTGGAAAACTGAACAGCTCAATGTATTAATAAAAAAATGAAATTAGAACACTCTTTAGCACCACACACAAAAATAAACCCAAATGGATTAAAGACCTAATTGTAAAAGCCAGATGCTACAGAACTCTTAGAGGAAAAAACAGGCAGAATACTCTCTGACATAGATCACAGCAATATCTTTCTTTGATTCACTTCCCAGAGTAAAAAGAAGAAAAAAAAAGAAAGAAAAAAAAGAGAATGAGAGACCAAATTAAACTTAAAAGCTTTTGCACAGCAAAGGAAACCATAAACAAAATGAAAGATAACCCACAGAATGGCTGAAAATATTTGCAAAGTGACCAATAACAGATTTATCTTCAAAATACAAAAACAGCTCCATGCAGTTCAGTATAAATAAACAAACAACCCAATCAAAAAATGGGCAGAAGATCTAAATAAACATTTCTCCAGAGAAGATGTACAGATGGCCAAGAGGCACATGAAAGGATGCTCAACCTCAATATTCATTATAGAGTAATGTAAATCTACTACAATGAGGTATCATTTCACACTAGTCACAGTGGCCATCATCAAAAAGTCTACAGACAATAAACGCTGGAGAGGACAGGAAGAAAAGCAACCGTCCTACGCTGTTGACAGGAATGTAAGCTGGTGCAACCACCATGGAAAACAGGATGGTGGTTTCTTAGAAACTAAACACAGAGCTAACATATGACCTGGCAATCCCACTCCTGGGCATATATTTGGAGAAAGCCATAACTCAAAAACACACATGTACTCCAGTGTTGACTGCAGCACTATTTACATTTAGCCAAGACATGGAGGCCACCAAAATGTCCATCATCAGAGGAGTGGGTGAAGATGTGGTACATATATACGATGGAATACTATTCAGCCACAAAAAAAGAACAAAATAATCCCAGTTGCAGCAGCATGGACAGACCTAGAGATGATCATACTAAGTCAGTCAGACAGAGAAAGACAAATATATGATATCACTTAAATATGGAATCTAAAAAAGTGATACAAATGAACCTATTTACAAAACAGAAACATACTTAGAACACAAATTTATGGTTACCAAAGGAGAAAGGTGGGGGGAGGGATAAATTAGGAGTTTGGGATTAACATATATATACTACTATATATAAAATAGATACATCATCAAGGGCCTACTATATAGCACAGGGAACTTAACTCAGTAATATGGGAAAAGAATGAATATATTTATATGTATAACTGAATAACTTTGCTATACACCTGAAACGAGCACAACATTGTAAATCAACTGTACTCCAATATAAAATAAAACATTAAAATTTTAAGAGTCTACAAATAACAAATCCTGGATAGGGCGTGCAGAAAACAGAACCCTCCTACATTGTTCGTGGGAATGTACCCTGGTGCAGCCACCAGGGAAAACAGTATGGAGGGTACTCAAAAAGCTAAAAATAGCCTTGCCATGTGATTGAGCAATCCCACTCCTGGGCCTACATCCATTCAAAACTACAATTCAGAAAGATACATATATCCCAGTGTGCACTGCAGCACCATTTACAATAGCCAAGGAGCAATGGAAACGTCCATCAACAGAGGAGTGGATAAAGACAATGTGATAGGTATATACAACGGAATACTACTCAGCCATAGAAAGAATGAAATAATGCCATATGCAGCGACACGGATGGACCTAGAGAGAGACTGTCACAGAGTGCAGTCAAAGAAAGCCAAATATACGATGTCACTCACATGTGGAATCTAAAATATGACACAAATGAGCTCATCTACAAAACAGAAATGGACTCACAGAAAACAGACTTGTGTGGGGGCAGTGATTAGGGGAAGGATGGCATGGGAGTTCGGGGTTGACAGATCCAAACTATTATATAAAAATGGATAAACAACAACGTCCTACCATATAGCACAGGGAACTATATTCACTATCCTGTGATAAACCATAATGGAAAAGGATATTTTTTAAAAAACAATGTGTGTATGTGTATATATGTGTGTGTGTAACTGAATCATTTTGCTATACAATAGAAATACAACATTGTAAATCAACTATGCTTCAATTTAAACAGAATGTCTAAAATATGAGGTCAGAAACCATCCCTACTCTCAGCCTTTATGCTCCCACCATTCTCTGTGGAAAGCCTGTTCCCAGCTGGACAAAGGACCCTGCCAGGTACTAGGTATTCCAACACCCCTCCTTCTGGTGGGTCCCCCCAGGCTTCACACTGGTTTCAGCCCCAGAAGCTGGTGGAGCCACCTCTGCTAATGTAACCTGGGCTGGCCATGGGCACAAAGTCCTGGGCAAATCCTGAGACCTATGGACTCAGAACCTCGGGGTGAAAGTACCCTGCTAATTCTAGCGTGTAACCAGAGCTGGCAACCTCTGGACTGGTGTCCAGGCCAGGATTTGCTGAGACCTTCTTGGGTGGAGAATGTCCTAGGCACCTGGAGCCTGTTTACCCTTCCCAGGTCCCCTAACACCCTACTACTTAGTTATTGCCCCTTCACCCAATCCACCCAGTGTTCGGTAAACACCGACTCAGTGTGAGGGATGCTGACATGCTTTATAATACAGCACCCGAGAGGACGCCCGACCACATACAGAAAGTGAATTAACTAGCCGCATCTACAGCAACACAGCAAGACAGCACAGCCCATCAAAAGGAAGCACATAGCCAGCAGACTGGAAAAGAAGGGGCCCTCTTGCTAAGCCTGGGTGCTCAGGGAAGTCTGGTGAAAATGGTGACACTGTTTGGGCAGAGTTTAACCAGCGAGGAGAAGGGCGGCAGGGACAGTACTACATGGGGACAGACTGACCAGCTTAGGGAAAGAAGTGGGCAGACAGGGTGGCATGTAGATAAGACGGAAAGGCAAATCTGGAGCCAGAGCAAGGAATCTTCTGAACTCTAGGTAAGCAGTCTGAAAATGTCTCCTAGTCTCCACATCTTTTCTCATTTTTCCTGTTCCTTCACTAGTTCACGTCCCTATTATTGCTTCTCCATGCAACAAGGATTAGAGAGCTAAGTGGTTCTTAAATCTACACATGAAAATAATTTAAAGCTCCTCCCCCATCCTAGGACAAGGGGTAAAGGGCAATTCACCAGGGCAATTCACCAGGGCGAATATCTTCTGGGCAACCCCTGGGTTCTGGCCCATTCCCAAGTCTCTGTGGATGGGCTCTGCTTTGGAGATGCCAGCTTGCTCAACTAGCATTTCAAAAGCTCAGAGTCTCTCTTCAGTGAGCCAATCTGGATATTTACCTGACAAAAGGGCAGAGTTGACACTTACAAAAGCCAAAGCAAAAAGCTGATTTAGGCTTAAGAAAGACTGGGCCACAGCAAACTTTCTGCTCCAGGCCCAAAGGCTATTTGTCCTGGATCCGCACCAGTAAACACACCCTCCTTTCAAAGTAGGGGAAAGGCAGCATCCAGAAAAACAGGGTGCCAAGCATCCTGGCTGTGTCTGGAGTCCACCAGACCCTGATCTTCTCCCACCAGCAGGCTGAGTTCTCTGGGGCGGGAGCCCAAGCAAGAGTCTGAATAACCAACGAAGAGCAAGAACTAGAAAAGTTTACCTCAGAAACTGGGCGATTCGGGCCATGACCGCTCCGGCCCCAGGCTGAAGCACATTTCCTGTGGACAACAAAGCTCTAGTCAGTGCCAGGAGGTGCTCTGGGCACTAAGGTAAGGCTGTGATGACCAGAGAGGGGGCATTCCAAAATCCTCCTTCAGAACCACTGAAATGTCAAGGTCTGGAGCAGGCTGAGCCAGCTACACAGCAGTGTATCCTGGTCAGACACAAGATCCAGTCCCTGAGAGGTCCACGACCCCCTGCCCATGCACCCTGCTTTTCCAAATCAGCACACTCTGGGCAGGTCACCTGCCTTTAAAGGTAACATGGAAAGAAGAATGTAGTGCAAAGCTTGAAGTCAAAGGAGGCAGTCCTGTCAGTTAGGAAAGTGTTTCTGAAAATGCACACCTCCGTGACTGGCCTCCACCTACTTCACTCCAGGGGTTGAACAGTGATCCCCCACCTAGGGGTGGCACCTCTGTGATGAGACTCTTACTATAAAATGTTAGGTTCTGCGCTAAGGTGGGAAGCAGAGGTGGGGGAAGATTAGACTAAAGGTCAAGAGGCCCGAGATTCAGGTCCAAACTCTGCGGCAAATCCCCCAGGCAGTTGCTCTATTTTCAACTGCAAAGCTGGACTTTGATGGTTTTTCGATGCTCCTTCTGTTCTACCCTGGCATAGACAGTACATCAGGATGGGTAGAGAAACCCAGTCTCCTGTCTCTTAGAGTGTTCTCAAACCCTGGCACCAAGACTCTAGCGTGGAAATGTTTGTCTCTTGCGATTCCTACTTCCTATCATACTTAATATGAAGAATGTGCTTGGAGCCGGCACAAAAAGTGCCTGGACGCGGGGGTGGGAGGGGTGGTGGAGTCTATAGCCCTAAGAGACGATTACACTTATCTGCGTGCAGTCCGTCGCCATTCCCCTCACTGAAGAGGCCTGGAAAGCGCCTGAATGGAGGGCGGTGTTTGAGGAGGGCGTTGACGGGATGGGAAGGCGAGGATCGAGCGCAGGGCCAGGGTAGTGCACTCACCCACGCAGATATCTCCCAGCTGGGCCGGGCTCAGCTTGACGTCCTTGAGAACCGCGGTCATGACGGCGGAGAGAAGCTCGTCGGGGGTGGTATCCTACAGCCGAAAGGGCGACCACTAGGATCCCGGGTCGGGACCCCAGCTCCCAAAGCCTCGCCCTTCCCCAAAGGGACAAAGCGGTTACAGCTCGGGCGCAGAGCCGCCACCGACGCCGAAGGGAAACTAACAGAGGAGCCAGACCCCAGCCCACCCCGGGCCTCCATCTCACACCTGACTCTCGAGCCCAGGTGCCTCACCTTGAAGCCGCCGCGGCCCGAACGGCCAATCGCCGTGCGCCGCCCGTGCACCACCACGACATCCTCTGCGGACGCCCGCCGCTCACCGCTCCAACACGGGGCGGCCTGCGGCTCCGGGTCCGAAGCGGGCCGGCCCTTCAGGTGACCCAGCACCACCTGCAGCCTCCGCATTGCGCAGCTCGGCCAGGGAAACCCTCAACCAGCCAGGAAGAGAGGGCAGCAACCGACAGACCGTGGCCCACGCAGGCGCTGAACCTTACCTCTGACCCACCGAAATCTAAGTCCCACCCACAGACCTACTGGTCTGACTGGCCTGTCCCTCTAAAAGTCCCGCCCATCTCCCCGCTTCAGCCAACCTCTGGTTGGCGAGCCTGCCTGAGGTCCCGCCCCAAGCCTCAAGCCTAGCTTCCCAAAGTTAGACACCAGAGGGTCTTTTCACTCAAAGCCCCGCCCACAGTAGCCTAGGCCTGCCAACCGGGAGGTGGAGTTTTCTGAAGCCTCGCCCAGAAACGCCAACAGGAATCCTTTCCACTTGCAGCCCCGCCTACTGCCAAACCCCAGGCGTGTTTGCAGGGGCACCTTTCGTTTCTTGAAGAAAATTTCACCATTGCCGGGGGTTCCTTTCCCTACAACCCTGCCCACTGCCCGCCACCAAACAGATGGCGGGTTTGTCAGGAGCGCTGCCTACAGTTTCCTACCTGGGAAAGAGGCGCCGGGGCCTCTTATTCCTCTTCTCCCTTCCTAACCTTCTCTGATGTCTCCCCCAGGCTGGGAGACCGAGATAATTCCGAGGTGCCCCACAGCCTACCTTGACGCGCTTGGGCTCGCCTGGGAAGTCTTTCGAGAAGACTGAGGGAATTTGGGATTCTGGGGTGGCAGGAGAATGGATTGTACAGAGTTGCCAAGATGTGACAGGACTCCCTTATCTGGAGAAAGAGCCATATACAGACATACACATTTTTAAAAAACAAATTTTACAGTCAATTTGGGGTTAGTGCCCACCTACCCCACTAGATGAAAGTGAAAGAGGAGAGTGAAAAAGTTGGCTTAAAGCTTAACATTCAGAAAACTAAGATCATGGCATCCGGTCCCATCACCTCATGGGAAATAAATGGGAGATGGACATGGGTTTGAGTAAACTCCAGGAGTTGGTGATGGACAGGGAGGCCTGGTGTGCTGCGATTCATGGGGTCACAAAGAGTCGGACACAACTGAGTGACTGAACTGAACTGAATGAACCCCACTAGATTGGGGTTTCCACCAAGGTAGGGAAAGACTTTGTATCCGAGGTGCTTGAAATATACTTGACACTTAGTAGGTGATCAACAAATACCTACTGAATGAGTGAATGAACCAAAGCTCCCCAGGTCAGGAGGTGTCCCCTGCCCCCTAAAGAGCAAAGCTAGGTGCCCGCTTGACTCCCAATGTCAATGTTTTCCCCTAGACCCAGAGGGTAGTACTGGGATTCTTCTAAGACACCTAAGGCCGGGGTGTACTGTTACCCTCAAACACGGAGGGAGGGGTTGTGTTCCCCACTTTTGAAGGGCATGGCTGTGGCATGCCTCTGGCGCCAGAAGGCAAATATGCCCCTTCCCTCCTCCATCTCCGAGTGTACAGCCAGGGAGTCCCCAAAGTCCTATGGGCAGGAGTGCGCCCCCAAATTGCGGGGGGGGGTGGAGGGAGGCAGAACCGAGGCATGTTACTGTGCCCCCTCCCCGCCATCCTCGAGCGCGGCACCGCCTGAACCCCTCAGATCCCCGGTGGAATGAAGGTAACTCCCCCACCTCCCAAAGATTAAGTCCCGTCTCTCCTATAAACACGGAAATAAGGTCATCGTCCCACTGCCGCGCCAGACCCTAGTGGACAGATAGGTGGAGCTCAGAACACCTCAAAAGGCAGGTTCCGGGTCCCCACATCCCCGGCCCCCCGAGATCTCGAAGGCAGTGATGGGGCGCCCCCCGCCTCCGCACATCTACTGGGGCTCCTGATTGTAGGGCAGGGCGGTGCTTCTCGGAAAGAGAGACCGGCGGGGCGGGACCAGGTGGGCGGGGTGGCCGAAGGGGAAGGAGGAAGCGCAGGCCCACAACGCGACTCGACTGCGCAGCGGCTCCCGAGGTAGCCCGCCATGGCTGAAGGAGTCCGCGGTGCGGGGTCCGCGCTCCCGGCCCCTTCCATGTCCTCCCTGCCCCTGGCAGCGCTCAACGTGCGAGTGCGGCGCCGCCTGTCGCTCTTCCTAAACGTGCGGGCGCCGGTGGCGGCAGACTGGACCGTGCTGGCGGAGGCGATGGACTTCGAGTACTTGGAGATCCAGCAGCTGGAGAAGTACGCCGACCCCACTAGCAGGCTGCTGGACGACTGGCAGAGACGTCCGGGCGCCTCAGTGGGCCGTCTGCTCGAGCTGCTCGCCAAGCTCGGCCGCGAAGACGTGCTGATGGAACTGGGACCCAGCATCGGTGAGGAAGCTCCCTTTCCGGCCTCACATCCGACGTGGGAGCGGGGGATGTAGGACCTGAGCCTTACTGGTCCCTCCTTGGAGGGACCCATCCCTCCTTGGAGGCGGCGGGGTGGCGGGGTACTTTGTGGGTAGCAAGGGAGACATTGGAGACAAACCGCAGAGGGGAAACCGCGCAAGACTAGTTCCCTCTTTCAATATCGGGGATGACAGGGGCTGGAGAAGGGAGGCGAAGGCCCCGAAAGGCACAAGGAAACCACTAAGACCAAAGCTCTCACACAGGACCAGGAGTCAGAATCCGGGTCCTCTCTGGGGGGCTTGGGACTGCTTCAAGCAGAGCAATAGGCAGGGAAGGGGCTGAAAGCTGACAGCCTTAGAAATCTCAGGCCCCTAGAAAATGCACCCTGTCCTGCCACTTTCTGACATACAATATACTTGCACGGGCATGGGGACAGTGGCCCACAGATGGGCATACCTTGTTTGGTTGGGGCTGCTGCCATTGCTGCGTATAAACACCAGGTCTCCTGAGCGCTTCTTTCATGCTCTGCTCGTATCAGCAGTGGATCCTAGAAGGAGACCTTGGGTTTAATTCTCAGGAGCCTTAAGAGGCAGGGGTGGGGTGGGGTGGGGGCAGGAAATGGGTCAGAGGCACAAGCCTGACCTTGATGGCTTCTCTCATAACCGGAACACCAGTGACATCCTTTTAGGATGGCCAGAGCCAGATGGGAGCTCTCCTTTTCAGAGCTGTTGAACTGTGGATGGCACCAGTGGGCTGGAGAAGCCTTGGGGCACAACACAGCCAGGAAGGTCGGGCCGGGGCTGGATCCTGACTGTGAGTAAAGGCATGGGGTACCCTTAGGAAGCTGGCCACACCTTGTCTCTTCCCTACAGAGGAGGATTGCCAAAAGTATATTCTGAAGCAGCAGCAGGAGGCATCTGAGAAGCCTTTACAGGTGGACTCTATAGACAGCAGCATCCCTCGGATAAATGACATGGCAGGCATCACCATTCGCGATGACCCCCTGGGTAAGGGCCCAGTCCTGCCCCTCTGGGCCATAGGACATTGTGGTGTTAAGAGCATGAGTGTTGGAAGCAGATGGGTTGTGGCACCTTGGGCAAGTCACTTAATCTCTCTGAGCTTCAGTTTCCTAAGAAATGGGGATAGTAATAGTCTAACCTCTGGCTTCAAGTATGAGAAGTGATGTGTCTAGCTCGTGGCTAACATAGGGCTTGGCCTGGGGTGGAGAGGAGGCACTCATTGTTCGATTGTGTAGGATCCAGGACCAGGGTCGCTTAGGCAGGGGGCACCTGGCTGGGCTCATCCCCAGCCTTCCTGGAGGGCTCTGACCATCCCCATTGTGCTCCGCACCCAGGGCAAAAGCCCGAGTGTTTTGATGCCTTCATCTGCTACTGCCCCAGCGATATTGAGTTTGTCCACGAGATGATCCGGCAGCTGGAACAGACAAACTATCGGCTGAAGTTGTGTGTGTCTGACCGTGACGTCCTGCCTGGCACCTGTGTCTGGTCCATCGCCAGTGAACTCATTGAGAAGAGGTTGGCTATGTGGCTGCGGGGCAAGTGGGTGGGTGTGCAAAGCCCTGCCAGGGATCTCCATGCTGGGGTCCTCCCGGCCGGCCCCTGTCTGGCCTGGCACAGTGGGATCCTCCAAGGCTGTCCCCGGGTGGGTCACCACAGTGCCTGTAGCCTGCCCACTCTCCCCTAGGTGCCGTCGGATGGTGGTGGTTGTCTCCGACGAATACCTGCAAAGCAAGGAATGTGACTTCCAGACTAAGTTTGCACTCAGCCTCTCTCCAGGTGAGCTCAGCCCTGCCCTTGCCACAGAGCAGTGGGCAGGGCCTCAAGATGCCAGCTGTCCCTCGCCAAGGGCCATGGATGTAGCATCAGGGAACTCAGGCAGGTCTCTGCACACCTAAGTGCGTGTGCACAAGAGTGCCCTTTGTGTGGGTGAATAGGCACCGGGGGTACTTATTGGGAAAGGGCTGTTGTTAACCCCTGACTGGAGGACTGGTCCAGCCCCGTGATGGCAGGGAGCCTGGAGCAAGCTCTGCCCCCTCTGGCTTGCAGGTGCCCACCAGAAGCGACTGATCCCCATCAAGTACAAGCCGATGAAGAAAGAGTTCCCCAGCATCCTGCGCTTCATCACAGTCTGTGACTATACCAACCCCTGCACCCAGAACTGGTTCTGGACTCGCCTCGCCAAGGCCCTGTCCATGCCCTGAACTGCCCCAGCCCCTGGGAGTGCGTGCCTCTGTGTGCCTGTACATGTCCTTCTACCCCTGCCTCCACCTGCGGTTGTAGGGGGATCTGTGCTCCGCTGGCCTCTCGATCCCTGGACATGCCTGCTCCATGGACACAGCTGCAGCCATGGTCCATATCTGGACAGCACCTCTCATGTCCTGCATAGAACATGTGGCACGCCCACTTGCTGGATCATCAGCCAGGATGGTGGAAACCCAAGGCAGCTGGGGCTCAGCGGAAGACCAGAAGCACCAGCTCTGACCCCTCCATCTGTCTTGGGCCTCAGTTTCTCTGCCTGAGAACTAAGCAGGGTGGGGGGAACAGGCAGTCGCTGTGTTTGAATCATTGTGGGAAATGGTGAAGCACTGTTTTGAGTCTCCTGGTTGAGAGCCAGCTGGCCACTGCTGGGACCAGGATGCTGCTGCGCATCTGCTTCCACAGTGCTCCGGGGCCCCACACCTCACACCCCACTTCCCCCTGCACCAGGGGACAGATGGCGAAGCAGGCTGGCCCAGCATAGGGAGATCCTGCATTGAGCCTGATCCCCC